GGGGATGGAACGGGGGGCTGGAAGTGAGAGAGAAGGGGCGGAGTTGGGGGCTGAGGATTGGGGGCGTGAGTGTAAAATGGTGGGTGGAGCTGGACTGCTGCGTGGGAGGAAGGGTGATGTGCTGCGGGGTTGTGTCAAGAGTGTTGGAGGAAGTAAGGGGGGTGGGCCAAGATTGATGTCTTTAGGGGGCGAGGTGGGATGTCCGGTTTAGTTTATGGGAGGGAGTGTGTGGTGCACTCGGGAGGGGGGATTCAGGAGAGATACGTTAGTCGTGGGCAGGAAGATAGCGTGGAGGGGTGCGATGGCGGACTTCTCACTTAGCCGTTAATGGTTGATGTCTGGAGTCTGTGATTGCAGTCGGATGTCGTAGGGAGAATGTGGTTCCTCGCCTGAGTCTTGGTGACTTCGCACAGTGTAGTTTGTTATCTTGAGGAGGCAGCATTCGGATTGGGAGCTCCTTCAGTCTTTCGGTGACTGGTGGCACGTCGATCTACGGCTGGATGGTTGTTGCAGCTCATCTCTGTGGAGCTGCTGCTGTTGCCAGCCTTGACCTTCGACCGGCTTTTACCTGGGATGCTTGGAACAGCTTCGGGGAGAGCTGCTGTGGCCAGCTTCCCTCTTTGTCATGGGGTGCACACTGGGGGCGCACTCGGGCATGACTTCCTTCAGCCCTTGGGGCGATGGCGGGCGTTGCCTCCCGGCTTCAAAAATTTGAAGTTGGCCATGCCCGGGGCGCGGGTGGCTGGCCGGGAGGGTGGCGGCGGGTTTTGGTTGGCGTCAGCCTGTCGGGCCTAGGCCGGGCGCTAGCGCAACTTAGCGCGGTGCTGGAAATCGAGCTAACCGATGGCGCCGGCGCGTTTGGCTGAGATCAATTCTCTTTTTTTTCATGTCGTCCATCTTGAGTTCTTTCTGTTTTTTTTTTTCTTTTCCTGCAGATGTGCATGGTGCTCACAGGTGCTGTGATTAATGAATGGGCATGGCTACTGCAGGATATGGATGTGGATTGGTGGTTCATAGCAAATTGTGTTCATGAGGAAGAATTCCCACATCTCTGAGGAAGAACTGAGGGGTAGCCAGTTTAGCCCCCAACAGATGCACTTGCATATGTAGCCACATAGAAAACATAGTATGCTTACATATGCATGGTTGCATGTGTGTGTGTGTGTGTGTGTGTGTGTGTGGGATTGCGTGTGTGCGTGCACATGTGTGTGTGTGTGTGTGTGTGTGTGTG